GAAAAAAAGAGTTCCGAGCGTTACTGGATCCGACTGTCTTCTGTTAAGTGAAAAGAAGAATGAACAGTTTCAGTTAGTTTGACTAAACATCATGGAACGATACGAGAGAGACTAAAACTGGCCATTATAAATATACTAAAATCGTCCTAGCTCCCACTAAGCACGAGATATAAAGTAAAATTTCTTTTTACATGTTACTATGCACTTCCAACTTTCGCATAAAGTTTCAGCTCAATATGATTCTTTATTAGCGAAAATATAATACACCTGATTAAGAGCCTTGATTTTCTCATTCTTTTCTTCAGCTGCTTTATCTTGTAAAGAAATTGCTACATCAAAAATGAAGACTTTAACAAATCTTGAAAAGTGACATATAACTTACAAGTTTCTAGAGAAAAATTCTTATATCACTTGTCTCCTATACTATTATTAGATCTGCGGTTCCAAAGATACTTTTAACGAATCAAATTTAGGGTCGTTCTTTCTTGCTTTTACTAATCAAAAGCATACCTAAACCCCCGATTCAGATTCTGGGTAGTTTTTGGGAACCTGCAGGCCTCTATATGCAGTTCAGCTGCTGTCGAAAAAGAGTTTTCGGCACAGGTCAAGTTGTCAAACAAATCAGATCTAATTCAGAGCCAACAACTGTTAATAATATCTTATTTCTTTGTGCGATAGAGCATAACAAAGTAAAAGATTGATTAATCTCGAGCTGTATCTTTTTTGTGCTCCTGTGTCTGATTGTTGTATTCTTGTGATGTTGTGGCTTTTTTTGTAATATGTAGTCGAATAAATCACATGATCAAAAGATACAAGAATCCTATAGAAGCCTAACAAGGCAGCGAAGAAAAAAAAATTAAAGTCGGGACGGGGCGAGGCGGGGCGGAGAAGCAAAAAACAATTTAAGGTCGGGGCGAGGCGGAGAACAAAAAATTCTTCCCGTTTCGGCCTCTGATAGGAATATATTAACGTTAAAAGGTTTTCTGTCAGTTAGCTACGAAAAGGATAGTAGTAATGAAGCGAGTATGTCCTAGCTAAGTATTATATTTGCATCGCAATATTTCATGAGTGTATTCATGCAGGCCAATAGCTAGTTGATAACATCGTTTTGCTTTACGAAGGTCACCGAAACGACGATTTCGATTCCCTTCATTGGTATAGATGATGGCCAATACTGTGCTCAATTGAATAAGTGTGTCGTATGAGGATGCGTTGTTGTTTTTTCTTAATATATTTTTGTACGGTAATAGAGAAGTGATACTAGCTAACGTCTCTGACTGTATAGCGGTTGATTTACGGTCGTTTTTATCAGTTCGATTTGACAATACAATGCAAAAGATTAGGAAGTACAGAATAAGATCTAAAGAAAATAATAACATTTATTTCATATCCATCAAGTTTAACGAATGTTTACCATTCTGCACAATGTACCAGTGAAGCTGTACATATTTCTGATACAATTGAATCGTCGGTAGATATAGGTAAACAATCCTCGAAGAAGTCTTTGCCACGGTACTTGATAGTCTTTGTTTAAATGTACAATAATAATCTGCAGGTGGAACCGCTAGCAAAGAAAAATCATTTCATTTCATTTTTGCATACAACAAAGCTGTGCTCCAAAATATGGCTTTTCTTTCAATACTTTGCTATTGAATTACAATCGCAAGAAAAAACTAAAAAAACCGCACATATAATGAAGAATTTCCTTTAATATCAGTACAGTTCTAAATACTATATAGTATCGTTTTGTATAATTCCAAGTATCATAGAAGCATGCAACATTAGTGAGTACATAATTACAGTTCTGCATTAAAAAAATATACGGATCGATTCATATTATAAGTAGTTGAAAGAAAGAGTTCAAAATTTTAGATGCTCTTATCTAATATTTAACTGTAAACTTTAAGCGAAAAATGCTTCATTGTAAAGTTCTTTGTAATATTAAATATTCCGTTATAGTGTCTGTACTGATTCGACATTAGAATAATGCTGAACGTAAATGTGCACTAGAAAAGTGCTTGCATCTGAACTTCCATAAAACCAACTTACTGATAATATCAAGGGAAAAAAGCTCATTCTGAGCCATTCGAATGGCTAGGATTGGATCGGAATGGCTAAGAATTCAAGAGAATGTCTGTGGAATGGATGGTATGAAGTGAATTTTTTATAGCTTTAAATTCAAGTTCTAGTGTCTTAGCATCGCTAGATTCGTTATTTCCGAGCTTTATTGATTGTGTCAGCGAAGGATAATTAAAGTTAATAGAGGAGAATACATGAAAAATTAGCTTCCAATGATAGACATAACAGTCTCTCTATAGTAGAAAAGCACTGGGCTCTGTTTATTTATAGCATAGTCACCCTTTTTAAGGGTGAATGCCTCATGACATATATGATTATACTTTATTACTTCTTCAAAATCCAATAAAAGCGGGAAATCTTATTTCGTGATTCCATGATTCCATTAAATCTGTTGATTATAGGAATGCCAGCGCTACTTAGTTTTCATTACTAGAGAAACTCATGGCTCAAATTTATTCTATCTTTTTTCTAAGCCTAGGAAACAGATTGGTTTCAGTATTTTTTATGCATCTCACAATTTCACACATGATCTGATAATTTTTCACCAAAAAGAAAGTTGAATCATAGTAGTCGATTCAGCATTGTCTAAGAATATAATCATCAGAGCAAAAACGATAAAGCCAGTCTGATTGTTCCTAGTGAAATGGTCCATTGATTGCTATTAATCGGTCTAAATCTCCTACAGAATCTGATTACCTATCGTATAAATAAGAAACAGGTGATGGGACCAGTCAATCTAGACCTGTCGTTACAAAAATTTATCGCATAGGTAAAGTGATGCAATCTCTCGTACTGCTATATGTATATCTAAATCAGAAAGGTGTTGGTATAGTTTTGTGACTGCGTAGATGTGGATGTGCTCTAATCCAGATCCAAACAATCACACCTACAATCACCAAAAGATCAAACTGAAACTCTTCTTTATTTGAATAATTTAGCAGAGGCCAGTTCTTCAAAGTTATTCGAGCATGCTTCTCTAATATAATAATATTCTGACCAGCACTAATTGGTTTCATACGAAAATTTGCTGCTAAATTTTGTTCATGCAGTCATTTCTCCTTTACGTGCTTTTTAATGTGACGAATTTCGTGGAATTCGATTCCGTAAAGGTATTTTTTAGCACGAGAGAAATAAACCAGACTCATCTGTCAGCAACTATACTGTCATCTGACAGCTTGCCGCAAATGAACGAAACAAATTATTTTTTCCAAAATAATAAATGAGTTACGAGGGAGCATCTTCAGCTGTCAATTCGCTTTTGAGCTAAGACTCTTTCTAATAGATAGATCTCATTGAAATATAGAAAATCTCAAAAGAACAAACCCTCTTAGTGCTATTGTGTAGATTTATAAATATTTTAGTGAAATTTGAGCCTGTAGCATCGTAAATGCCAAAAAATGGAACTACGATATTTCGATTTGAGATTTCGTCCATAGATACATCTATTTATAAGTAGAATCTCCTGATAATTTCAGCTCAAAGTGATCTTGCATTTATGAGCTATTAAAGTTTCCAAAAATAGAAAATACTAGCATTTTTGCTAAACATGCGTGATTTTGAGACTTAAACATCTCGCGAATGAAACATTGTTTCGAACTAAAACTTTCAGAGACCTCCACTTACAAATAGATATATCTATGTACAGGCGAAATTCCAAATCGAAATATCGTAGTCCGATGTTTTAGTATTTGCCATACTGGAGTCCCAAATTCTAAGAAATTGCTTATAAGTCCAGACAGAACACTTAATGGGAAGTTGATCTTTGAGAACTTTCTCTAATTCACTAAGGTCTACGTATTGGAAAGACTCCCAACCGAAAAGTGATTTAAATGTTGAAAGTGTGTCCTCGTGAGAAAAATGTCTCTAAAAAGATGAGCTTAGTACAATTTGAATGGTTTCATCCATTGGTAGGGTGATGCAATGAAATTGAAACGACTCGATATTATTCTTAGCGACTGTGATAGTCTTGAATCAACTTTTCCCCATTGGCGTGATGATTGTCATCATTTGGATACGATCATTCTCTCTCCAGGTTG